CGAATTTTTGAGTTGTCATAACTTTGTTAATAATGAATATTTTTTCATGAAATTTTGGTCACACCTATTTAGAGGCACTCTGAATCCAGTGGCGTAGTGATTTTTTCAATAAAAAAATGGCTAATAAAAAATCCCGATTTTCGACTGAGAAAAAATATCGTTGTATGCCCTGAAATTTTGTCCCAAGTACTTGACATTAAAAAAAAATATTATAATCGATTTACAACTTCAAATTTTAGGGGGGTGTTTCCATTAAAAGTGGGTCACACTGTATGACGCCTTATTAGGTTTCAAATATTTCACAATTCCATTATTTGAAAGGGATAGCATTGAAATTTTGGTCTACAAAGTTGTGGCCTTCTAAGGCCGAGTTCTTGTGAGGGACGCAAAATCGACTGCGTCGGATTCTCCTGCAGACTCTCACAGACAGCGGCGATGTTTTCGACAGATCTTGCCTTCCGTCGACGGACAGTTGTTGGTCAATCGTTTACTGAACCAGTGGACTCAAATTTATCCACCATATTGTGGATATTCTTCTCGGTAGGATGATTATGGCGACAGTAAAATGGACGAAGCGCACGATAAATTGCTCGAACGCTATATCCGTCCATGGTGATTTGGCAAAATAGACTGAAGAAATGACAACTAATTTAAGAGATGTGGTTCCAACAAGATTCCCGTTATCAATTGTCAAAGTTCAGAAGTCGCTGATGGAAAACCCTATAGAATAGGGTGAAAAAACGTAAGCAGCGTCATTAATTTTCAGGCCAGTATGCCCAGGAATCCAGATCAGAGACAATTTGCTAAGTCTTCCTATTGAGGAGAGTCAGTTTAGGCAATCTACTATGGCTGTGGGGTACTAACCAGTCAGAAGACACTATTCTCATTCTCTTAAGTAACCTGTAGTCACCCAGCCTGAAATATGCAGCTCCAGAACCATACCTCTGGACTGTCTCCTGGAATAATCTCAGCGGCAGCCCAAATTGCATACTGAAAGGATTCCAGTTGATTGGCTCATCAGGCTGGCGGGTATGCAAGGTCAAGATTCCTACTGTAATAACCGCAACAACCTTTCCATTTGGAAGCACCTATAAGTCAATTATACTTGACGACTCACCACTAGAATCAACCATGCAAGGCTTTTTGTCTCTATATCGGATGAATGATCGGTTGAGCCTAAGCATTTGTCGACCTGCTCAGTGGGAAGTTATGCCCTCTTTTCCTCTTCTGATGCAGATTTCGTTTCTGCTTCTCAAAAGTTTGTTGCAAAGCAGATTTATAAGATATCGTGCGTTTGGGAAGGTGATAGCTGTGTTCTTGCTGCACCACCTAGCCTCCTAGGTTTGTCAACTGGACCGAGAGTTGAACTGAGAATGTCCAGAGTAGATCACCAAAGAGATTTCTGTGACACCGGAAATTCAACTAACAGAAGCAATGAAGAACGTTAACCTCTGAACGGCTTACGTAGAAATGGTGGAATATACAGGAGTGCGCCATGAATTATTTTCATTTGAACAAGTCTATATATGCGAAACCGCCACATACTTGACCAACTGCGCTTAGCGAAACTGATGCGTAGTACGCCGAACCAAGCCATACCGGATCTACTGTCCAGCTTTTGAGCCGATTTCATAGGAAGGACCGTCGAGGTTGTTTGGACTCAGGGACGAATTCTTTGATTACTGAATGGTCTATGAAGGGTGCCCGGTATCTTGATGGTTGCTATAGTGAGTGAGCAGGAGTTATAAATCCCTTCGGCAAGGATGATACGTTAGCTAAGAGGACTGTTTCCTCCAAGTGTGACACTTCTTCTGGCAGGGGTATTCTAAACCCCCATCTGAGTGCGGAACGATATCACTATGTTAATGATCTAGTTGATTTCTTTATCATGGTCCTTTGCGGAGGCATAGAAAAATCATTAACGGCCAGTATATTCTGTTCCTCAATTATATTTATTCACTTCGAACCAGACTATAGAGAAACTGTTTATTTCATGTCTACATTACTCAACCATTTCAACTACGCGTCTCAAATTATCGGCGTTGACTCGCTAATATAAACGTCAAGATCAGTCGAAAAAATCTATAAGATGGACCATCAGTCGTCACTGCTCACTAGATGTGTAAACAGTGGCATCAGTTACTAATTATAAACTCATCCTGGGTCTTATGGATTACAAAATAGCTGTTTTCTTGTTTAGGATCAAGCGAATACTTGATCTCTCAGTACATATCAGGTGTCCCCTTGACATTTTCTTATAAACGGTTGAATTTAACCTCGGAGTATGAAATAATATGATGGGGAGGAGGTTAACTGTTGAATGGGTGACCCACTGTAATGACAATTCAATATTAGAGGTGTTACTTTGATTAGCTCCATCCTATGCAAGCAATTCTGCAAGACCCTGTACAAGTTACCTCACCATAAGTTATCTCATTCATCAATGGTTTTCAAAATTGAAAAACCGACCCGTTCATTATCGGATTTGACGATGCGGCAAATTCCCTCGACCCGGAAATCGAAACCGAATCACAAATAACAGACAACCACAATGGCAATCAGCAACCAACCAGAAAATAAGAAGCGGTACTGCTGCATTTTAGTTTGCAATTGAACCATTCCAATAATGACATTAACATTGACATTGCTGCCTCCTCGAAATACCTTCTAATTATACAATCATTAACTTCGCACTGCCAGATTATGTTCGCGAATAGGCGGAAGCCAGAGGCCAAGGATTTGTACCTGTGTACTTATACAGCGCGTTGAAGATTATGAACTGAAATGAGTTGGAGGCCCTCCAGCCTCATTGCTACATCTATGGTCTTTTGCACAAACCCCGGAATGACGAGCCTCCAGGCAAGGCTAACAGAACCCTGGGGGGCAGTTCTTTGGTATCGAAGTGTATTAGTATTTTCTCATCAAGAAACATCTGCAAGACTATCCCCTGTGAGGTGTCTTACATAAGTGTTTGCCGGATATAACTTCAGCGTGGCATTATCCGGGAAAATACTTTTTTCCGGCATTTACCAAAACCTATTGTCTGGGTACGTTGGGAAAGGGATAGAAAAGGGCGTTTATGGAATTTTGTAACGGATAAGCTACTACGTCTTCTGGACACAATGTTATTGGACTATGCAGACAATTTAGTCATCCTTGTCGGGGCAAATGAAATATAGTGATGTGATGCATGTATCAAAGAGAGAGAAAGAGAGAGATGGTGCCTAACATAAACAGGCGTCTTTGATTTGGTGGAAAACAAGCAATTGCTATTGACATACTAGGCAGTGTCTTATTACGTGAAACGCAATAAGCCCTTGAAACTGTCTCGAGACCGTGTTTGGAATTAATGAAAAAGTCAACCGAATTTACTTTCGCGGAAACATAAAATCATGTTACAAATCATTACATTTTTTATCATACATTATCTGCTACTATACATTTTCGTTGATTGAATCGATTCCGTGTTTGCCAGCTATTAACAAACTCCTCCCATTACGTGTGAACTTGAATCCGATCAATTTCTCTCCAGGATACGGCAATTACCATCAACTGCGAGGGATCTGACTACCACAATAAACAAGTGCCAAAACAATAGACTGCGAACCATCAGCATGCCACAAACGAAGCGACTGAATAAATTCGCGTCCAGAAACGAGTGAACAATGCGAAACAAGTGCGAAACGAGAGTTGTTTTGATTAGAATCAATTATTGAGTGTCCGGTCCGTTATTTCCTAGCCGACATGGATTTTTAATGGAATTTGCGACAGGATTATGCCCGCCATGACTACTCACGGTGGAGTTTTGTATTACGTAGTCAAGGTGCCCAGGGATTCGGAGCACAGGTAGGTCCCCCACGCTACAATCGACTTTGTTATAAATTTTTCATGAGCATATGGAGTAGAACGAGATTTTAGTAGCTCGATTACGGTGGGTTTCAAGTCTAGAGGTCGCTATTGTCCTCTATATATCACGACACTCTACCTTACGTAAACTTCAAAAGCGAGAAATCATGGCGTGGGCGACATCTGCATTTGGTAGTGTGAATCACTGTGGTAGTGAATATCAGAGTTTCAAATTTCAAAAATGTACATTTTTCTGTGAGGATCCACCCGAATTTGTGACTTTGAATCAACATTTTTTTTAACAAATAATAGTGTGGCAAACATATTCGTTTGATGATATGAACCACTGTCATAGTGACCAAGAAATGGGTGACATCTACCCACAATATGCAGTGTGTTCTTTGAAACGAACTCTCATAGTTATCCAATCTATCCAAAATACTTTCTGTTGCTTAACACCTTTCTGAACTGTTTTACTTGTTTCAGCGTGGAGAGCGGCTGGGACAATCCCTTCCGACCTGGCGGTGACCTGAGCAGAGAGGCAGACGAAATCGTGGAACTGATAAAGGGCGGCAAGCCCATTACGCCCACTCCCGATCAACAGGCGCCCCTCCTGCCCCCTCTGGACGAAAACGATCACTCAGTCCTGAACAACATCCAGGAGCCTATCACGGAATCTCCCAAAAAGACCACCCAACTGAATGCAGCACCGCCACAGCAGAATAATGCCAACGGTACTGCCAAAAACGAAGCCAACGCCAAGACGACGGTCTCGCCCAAAGCGACGACCGCCCCTGGCAGCGTGGACGTGCAAAGGGTGACTGTGAAACCCGATGGCGATACGTGCCAAGTGGAGCACGTAACTATCAAAAAAAAACCCAAGTGCAAGTGTTGTGTTATACAATAACTCTGGATAGCGAATAGAATTTTTGTTACTGTTATATCTTTTGTAGAGGAGGAGATGGAGGGAGATCGGGTTGCGAAGGCCGAGAGTTAGCGTCTGTGATAAAAATTTCAGTAGAGTGGAAGATGTACTGCGTTCCCCCAGTGAATCAAAAACATATTGATATCAATATTTATAGTTTTGAGTTGTTTCCTAATTACGATAAATCGACATTCACTGGCCGGTGCCAAGTAGTTGGATCATTAGTCAACCCTGAGGGCAATTGGAAAACCCCCACATTGAATGAATGCTTCATTTTTCCAAAGAATGAATTTCAGATACTTTTACATATATCGAAATTTCTTCCCATACATTCTCAAGGTATCTATTTTAACAGATGGGTCACTCGTTAGCCCAAAAGGCAGTCGTAGAAATTCCTGGGAAGACTAAATCTATTTTTAGTCGGTGTTCACTTCACATTACACACACTGTGTACATCACTCTCATACAATTAGTGAACAAATCAGGTCAATAGGCTACCTGTACATTTTTGCTCGAATGTCCATGAAACTGACTCAATGTTACGAGACATATCCACTTCTACAATTCGGCTTCAAGAAGTATTCTTGAACTATAATGAATATTTTCACAGAAACGGCAGATTACACAACTTCAATTTTATTCAATACACAATAACAAGCATAATTACAACACTATCCAGCATAATAATGTAAGTAGTACTACACCACAATCAAGCATAAAAAGATCTGCACGTGGCCCATTTCTTCAATCACTTGTCAGGTAGATGGATCGCTTGTTAGTCCTAATGGCATTCGAAAAAACTCCCTTGAGCTACGAAAATGTATATATTTTATATATTTTTAACCACCTAGTTTTCTAGAATCAAAACTGGGTAGGTTATTTAAGATCTGACAACCAACTGTACAAAATTTAAATAAAATAAGAAAACATGTTGAGGCTACAAATGTTTTTATCACAGATTCTATCGGCTTTGAAGTGATACTGGAATTTGATAGAAACAGCCTGGTCTCATATCTGATGTCAAATACCATTATGCTTCATTAACGCTTGAACCAATCTCCAAACTGTTAGGAAGTGGAGTATAACTTCATGCACTCAATACCCAGTACACCTTTAATATTGGTTATATATTAGTGGACAGAGGCATACAGTTTATTGGTGTGAAGAAGTTATTTTGGATTACACAACAATCAAAACAATGTGAGAATTTAAGTAAAGGTACTTCACAGGTTCTGGCACAAAATCCGATGCTTTTTTTTATGGTGCTTCATTTCAGTCATTTACGATCCGTTCAAGGTTATTCGAACTGGTCGGTGGGGAAGGTCCTCAGCCAATCAGGATGGAGAGAGCAAATATCGACAAGGTGGTTGCATCAAATGAAATTGTTCGGGGATGACGGTGAGGATGACGTCGGCGGGCTTTTAGCAGATCAGATTTAAACAGATCTTGATTAGGTTTAAATCAGGTTTGAACAGGTACTTATTCGGTAAAGTGGCCACTTCATCAGATAAATACCTGTTTGAACAATTATTTATCTGGTAAGGTGGCCACTTCATCAGATAAATACCTGTTCAAAGCTGTTCCTGACCTGATCGAGACCTGTTCAAACCTGAATAAAACCTGATCGAGGGATCTGACCATCTGATACAACCACCTAACCATTCTGATTGGCTGAGGACCATTTTCGCCTCGAATGACCTTGAACGGACCGTGAATGACTGAAATGAAGCACCATAAAAAAGAGCATGGGATTTTGAGTTAGAATTTGTTATGTAGCTTTAGCAATAAACCCCGTGCTTCAATTAAGTAGCATAAATACGAGTTTGGAATCAAACTTTGGGTGTTTATTTGAAGCACTTGGGTATGAGGAATGTGTACCTAAAAGGTGACTATGATTTTTCATCATAAAATAGTGAGATTTTATTTTCCTATAAGAATATAGAGTATTCGAGATTATTTTTTCATTCAGAAGCAATGAATCATTTGTATGCTTGATGTATACAGTCTGGTCATTTTATTAAATTTATTTTTCAATACTTATCAGATCGAGTATATTGCCTTAATTTTATTACTCATCGATTTCCACATATTTTTGTTCTGTTTATATTATTTGTTGATAAATTGCTTCCAGACTGTATTCAAATGGATGTACATGCCACTGATTTTTGAATGAATAGGAGAATAATAATCAAGAAAATATAAACTAACTATATATGTACAGAATAGCAATTCCTAGTTATTGTATTTACAAATAACGTCAAAAACTGTGAAAATAAAGAGATCTATTAATAGTTACTTTGAGATTAAAGTGTCAGAATGTAGGTTCAGAGTATCTGAGCGTTATGTTGTTTGATTTTTTTCATTTCTCAAGGTTGGTGACACTGAAATTCAGTAATAATCAACTTAAATATTAGAAATAAGTTTCCTCCTCAGCGGTTTTTATCACATGTGAGTTACATGATGTTTGAAATATTTGAAATCAAACAATTTAATGCAGAACTTTTTATAATCAAACAGTTTACATATTTTCAGTTTGAATACCTACAGTGAGATATGAGAGATATTCGAATCAATTTTACAAACATATTTTATATACTTTTTGAGTCATATATGATTTTTAAGGCAATTAACAATTTTTACCTTCTACCTAACCTACATTTTCAATTTTGATTACATATTTTTTCCGGGACAGAGTGTTTGATGGTTTCAAATTTGAAGCTTCATTATTTAACCAACAAATTAACGTATTTTATTGTCTGAATCGCTGTCCCTCAAAGTGCTATGAGATGTAGATATTATATATAGTACAATTAGTTATTTTTTATAAGCTGTTTCGATGAGTGGAAAAGATTCATCAAGAACATGTTTCTTCGGAGTAACGTGGTAACAAGTAGAACAGTTTTAGTTATATGTTTCGTATTTTTAAGTTTTATTTCAATGACCTCGTTGAATTGTATTCTTTGTGTGGTTGTATGAATGGATCCTACTTTCAGTTCATTATCAAAATTGTTCCAGCACAAAAAGCCCCTTTCGGTTTTGAGATAACTCAGTTACACGGGTGCACAGAGAGTTTGGGAGCGAACCTAATAAAATATACGGAGTGCGTCACGAATAAAAACGATGTTATCTTTAGTTTCTCATTATCCTGTATGTGATTATTTGTATGTGAATAACGTCCTCTGTATAGTTGGTCTGTGTATAATATAATGCAGCTTTTTATGCTTATATTACATATTATGTAGATTATAGAATGTACATTTTATAAGTTAACTATATCTCCCCACAACTTTTGTAATGATTTGATATTGACTTATCATTCGTTAATTTTATTTCTTCTGTATCATATTGTATAAATTAACCTTTATTTGTATACCATGCCACATTGCATTAAAAATTGTGATGGTCTCATCAAATTTGACTTTTATTTGTCCATTTTAAGCAAAAAAAGATGGAGTACTATTTATCTATTTATAAATTCAAGTCAAATCAGTAACTACTGGAGTGTAGATACAATTTTATTTACTTGTACCTTCAAAACATTTGATTGTATTCATTGCAATACATCAAGATTTGGACCCAAAGTCTCATGCATAGAAACTGAGATGCCTGTACATTGATGTAGCAAGTCCTTTAGAATTAAACTTGAACCAAATTGCCGTTTTATCCATATTGAGATGCACTTTTTTCTTTTACATCTTTTGTTAGTTTTTTGAGAATTATTGAATATTTTACAAATTGTCCTAACCTTAGGTACCTACCTCATACAATGTTATACTCCAAATAGAAAACAACAGAACGAATCTATAATCAGTAAAGACAGTTTTTCACATTTGAGAAAATCCTAATATGTCAACTATGGCCACAGATTAATCTGTGCTATGGCGGTTCATTTGTAATAACCTTACTTACGTACTGCTTAGAAAAAATAATAGTATTGGCAACATCTTTTATCAAGAAAGAAATGACTAAAAATAACAGAAATATTGACGGTTGGTGCCATCTTACGACAACTTGGGAACTACCCCGCTTGGTCAAGAATTTTTGAAAAAAATGCTCAGCCCACCAATGTCCCAGCATCCACCAATGTATATACATAGACATCTCAATAGAAAACGAAGAATAAAACCCATTATATTCTTCGTAGAAACTCTGGTGTTTTTGCCGATTATGAGTTAAAATTTCCGTATCTTGCTAGTTTCGGATACTTTTTGCAGAGTAGTTTTTTTTATATCTGTGAATAAATAGATAGATGTAACTAAGAATATTTGCATTCTATGACCAGGGTTTCTTATGGCATAAACCAATATATGTTTCAAATGCGTGACCTTCGAATTACAGCACATAGATGTCACCATCTTGTCCTCCCAAATAATTGATTAGTATTTTGTTTGAAGCTGTAAGCAAAATCCTTAGACAATGGCGTTCAATGACATAGTATAAAGATAATACCTTCGTATATAGACTATATACAATGATATTACTTTAAACTATGCTGTAAGCTATGAAGTGCGGTGTCGGAGGATTTACTGGAAAAACAATGTGATGGAACTGCCAGTAATGCATCAAGCTCAGTATCAGTTGTAAAGTTATTTTAAAAAAATCTAATCTATTGTCCAGAATTGATGATATCAATTGTTAAGTTATTTCGAAAAGCATCCATCCACTGCCCAAAATTGGTGTTTCTGACAACGTGAATTTGTCAAATTGATATTTTCATAAGAAAAAACTGAAGAACTGTTTCACTGCATGGGAGGTAATTCAGTGAAAAATAAAAAACCAAAGTACTCTTGCAGTCAAATTTCACGTTATTTTCTAATCTATTGATTTAATGAAAATTTACTTTATGTGCTATAGAAAAAAATCTGAACGTACGTAGCGCCATCTTCTCAGGAACCACTGAATTAAGATTGATTGAGCCCTGATGCGTTTCATACATCAATGCAATATGTGATACAAAAAATACTAAATGATAGTCTGTTGATTTTTACTTACGTTGTTTGAAGGTTTTTTGAGGAATAAAATAGTTATCAACAACGTCTGTAGAGAAACGGTTTAGTGCAGTCGTCAGTGACATCTAGCGTTGAATGTAAATAGTTTGGTTTGTACAAAATGTTAGATGATGTAGGATTATAGTAACCTATTCTAAATTTGTAGTCACAAACGTGTTTGAGTTCTCAACGAATAGATGGCAGCAAAACCCATGTTTTAAATTACATTTCTGAAGCTTTTAGCATATTTTTGCCATTGTTTGATGAGAAATTTCAAAATTTCATCTAGGAACAAACTTACACAAATGCCAAGGTAAAAATGAGGTATTTGAACACACCAGTAACTGAACTCATTTGAAGTTAACAGTTTACAATCTGCTATTTTCATGGAAAGCTGTGCAACAGGCAATGACCCAATGAATATCAATAGACTACCATTTAGTAAATTGTATATTAGATGAACAACAATTGCACTAGTTTTGATATCGTCTCAGTTAAATCATAATCTAACTCGAAAAACAACTTGTAAAACTCTTCCACAAAGTCGATAAAGCATTTCTTCATTGTACTATGTCTCAACCAAGAACCATTGTAAAAGAAAATTGGTTTGAACAATATTCTTTATTGTCTTGCTAGAATAAATTTAAGAACTGAATCTTTGAAAACATTTCCATCTATCAAATTCATGTTACAGAATACACAACTTTTTACATATTCAATATTTATAGCCTCCTTTTGTGTCCTGCACTGTACCAGTTTTGAAACTAGGCACTCCATAGGTCAGTTGGGGGCTTCCATTTGGAACCTTGGATGACTCTGAGGCAGTAAAAGTTAGCTGGGGAATCTGAGCAGCATTTGGTACAGATTTCTGAACCTGTAGGGAAGAAAATCCTCCAAATTGTGGCAAACCGTTAGTTTGTGCACTGTATTGGTATCCATTTTGAGCACCGTTAGCTAATCCACCGCTTTGAACCGACGAAATCGCCTGTGAGGGTTTATTGTTCAAACTTAGAGAAGCAAATTTAGCATCGAAGCCATACTGGCCATTTTTGGCGTATTTCTGCTCATTTTCCTCATAGTACTGACCTTCTTGGTATTCACCACGAGCCAGAGCAGCCTTATTGAGCTCGATGGACTTCAATATCGCCTCTGGAATCTGGGGAATATGGGAACCAGTAGGTTTGAAACCCTCTTCGTCGGCAGTATATTCAACAACAATGCGTTCTCCTTCTGGAGAAGTGTAAGAGTATCCCCCTCTGGCATTTTCTGCGTCATTCACAACGGTACCTTCTTCTTGAGCCATGATTCCGTTTTCGGTTTCGTAGTTGTAGCTGTAATAACCGTCGCCGGAGTTTGGGACGATGTTGGACTTGATTATGGCAGCTGGAGCTGCAGAACTGGCTCCGTTGTAGTACTGGCTGGGTACCCCAGCAGAGTGAGCTTTGTACTGTCCATTTGGTTGTCTCAGCGGCTCTGATGCAACAGAAAGTGCAGCAGGCTGCAACAAGCCAGAGTACTGTCCAGATGGTCCAGATTTTTGGAGGTTAGGACCGGCAGAGTAGGTGTTGAATTGTCCATTAGCGTTTGGAACTTCTTCACCTGCCTTCACGACTTGGTTGGATGCAGAAGAGGGTACAGTAGGGAAAAAGGATCCAGAATATTGCCTAGATGGTTCAGACTGCTGGTGGAATTGGCCAGCTGAATGACCAGAAGGTGCAAAAGAGTGTTGGGCATCATGAACTTGTCCGTTTGGGTTTGAGTACTGATTGAGTGAACCAGTGGAGGATTGGGAAGGTTTGTATAGCTGTGTAGGAGTTGCAAAGCCATTTGACTTAGTGCTGTGACTAAATTGACTTGTGAGCTGATTGGTAGGTCTGGACTGGTGGAAAGCATTAGAAAACTGTCCATTTGGTTTGGTATATTGATTAGCCGACACATCAGCCTGTCTGAAGGAAGACGATCCACCATTATTGTACTGGTTAGCCGGGAACAGGTACTGCCTGCTGGGTACTTTGGCACTTGGTGCAGAATATTGACCGCTGGATTCTGATGTTTGGCCGAAGTTTTCGCTGGTGGGTTTGGCTGATTTTGCGTCTTCTACAATAGGCGTACTGGCTGGATATGGGTTGTAGTCTCCATTAGCAATTAGAGCGTTGTTTGGAGGTGGAAGATATCTGTTATCTAAACGGTCGCTTAGAACAGCTCCCAAGAAAGCCAAGGATAAGATGATCTGGAAGACATAAAATTTATTTGTCAAAGAAGATAACCTAATAAAGGGAATGTTGGATGATAGAGACAGCTCAAGCAAATCTTGGTAAATGGGATTATCGACTATAATGTAAATGGGACAACATGGATTTGCCTATATTGTACCTCTATATGAGATAGGATTCCAAAGCCTTGTTTAAAAGTTCAACACACACATTATATAGATTGATGCGATAAAATATTATTTTGATCACAGTTCACATTTCATGGTTTTATAAATGGCATTCGATGAAAATAATCAAAAACCAAAACATGGAAATGTACTATAGAATTGAATTTAATAAAACAACGTTGATATCGTTTTCGATTTGGTAATTTTAATCAATCGACAATAAAATTTCTGGATGATTGTAATCCATAACCTCATTTCAAGAAACCAAAATGGAATCGAACTTTTATGATTTTCATAATTATAATTTGTTTGCAGATTTTTAAGAAGAATATATAACTGCTCTCCATTCAGAAACGGTTGATTCTGGAAAATAAACCAATAATGTATAGCACACTGAAAAACCTAACCTAATCTTACCTAACCTAACCTTACCTAACCCAACCTAACCTTACCTTACCTAACCTAACCTAATCTATTTATCTTATTTCTTATCATGTGTACACGGTACACGGTGTGATGAGAATCATCTGATTATATCGATTCATATATTAGAATCATTTTCAAATACTCTTGCTTGGAAAACAACCAATTAGAGGAAGCATAAGAAAATTTGAGCAAAAAACATGAACAATATTTTCAATGTTGGCCTAAGACAATTTACTGATGACAGAGCATGAAATAGAAGAAGAAGAAAATACTAAAAAATTATTAATTTGGTGAACTTACTCCTCTCATATTTGACTCTTGTTTTGGAACAAATGGAACACTATAAATCAGATATTTCGATGATCCCTTATATATCGATCTCACTTAGTACTCCCACTATAATTTTTCGTGAAGATGATCGTTAATACATTTTTTACACTTCAATCAATGAATTGCCAATTACTATCAAGGTGACTGACTAGAGATTAATTAGAAATGTTATAATATGGACCACATACAGTTTTGAATGTATCACGTTCTTGATTGTGAATATCTTGTTCGATTAATTGCATTATCGGTAGGAACTTAAACAAAAGGAGAATCACAATAATAAAAAAATGAATAGTAATGATGTAGGTACCTATTTTATGATTAACGGGCAGTAGTTTAAAGTTTTGTTGAAGTGCGAACTAAAACAAAAATTTTATACTGATATTGATATTCAGTTGTTTAATTTTCAAATAGCAAATAAAGAAAACATTGTTATCAATTTCCATTTGAAATTTTAGTGTAGTTGGGAAAAATTTAGGTGAAAACATTTCAAAATTTGGAAATTATAGGGACAATATTGAGTTTCTGTGAAACACTTGTATCTGTATCCTGATGAAAACACGTGATTTTTCGAATTTTAATTTTTTGTTTCTTTTCAGCTTATGATGATATGATGAACATTCTTCAACTTATGATGATATGATATACATTCGCAGCTCTATAGTTCGTGTTAGTTTCTTCTTTTATTCAACAAATAAAAGTTCTACGCAGGCACTGACCTGTAACGTTATCTGATTTGTTCAAACCCAGATATTTTGCAATGATAAGGAAATTTGTACAGAACAAGAATATATGAATTGACTGTTGGTTATTGTCGTAACTTCTATATTGGCCAAATAGGACGACCTTTCTCAACAAGAATGAAGGATCACAGAAGTAGTTTTTGAAGATAACCAATTCAGCATTTGCAAGCAGTCTTTTCATAATAGAGCATGAGTTAATTCATAACAATGATCTATTTGGAAGAGAAGGGTTTAAAATTCAGTCTTCTACATAGCTTGAAAAACAGTAGATTCAAATATTGAAAGGGACTGCACAATGACCAGTCAGAAGTGAATACCTTTCCCCAACTAGTGAGTTGACCAGGGTCAACAAATTTCTGAACACGTAACAGCACACCTAGATAATGACAAATGAGATTTTGTCGAAACGTCGGTGAAATTAGAGATAATATCACATACACGGATCAAATACCCGGAAAAACCAGTTTAGCATATATACCGGGTGTCCCACATTTTATGTGACAGGCAATATCTGGTTTGTTGAAGGAGATACACAAAAATGTTTCATACAAAAGTTTTAGGAGTTCATGAGAGCTATATTTTGATATAATTTTTAAATATACAGGGTGTTTGGTGTAGGTGCTACAGACCAAAATTCCATTTTTTAAAATAGAACGCCCTGTATATCATTACATATTCAGATGCTACGTTAAATT